ATTTGTCCAAGTTCACAAAGCAAGAAAGTGCAGACCTGGCCTTTGAATCTAGGCCTGGCAGACCCAAAACTGAGCTCTGACTAAAACTGGGCTGCCTCCTAAAAGACATGGCAAGGGGAGGTAAAGAATTCCTTTGCCCGCTCAATTCTTTTGGGTTGTTTTGCTTTGTTTTTCTCATCTGTCTCCTACCCTAAGCAAAACAAATACATACTTAATAGACAACTGCTTTGGAGCCAAGCACAACCCACACAGGACATGGGCTGCACAGGCGGAAGCAGGTCGCCCACCCGAACCCGCTGACAGGGGCCAGCTTCAGCCACTCACGGTTTCATCTTGGCCTTTTCATCACTGGGGTTGTAATGCGGAAGCTGCACATCAAATATCCTCTCCATGAGGAAGACGGCATAGGCGTGGAAGTCCAGCTTGGTGCGAGACTCCCACACCACCGTGTCGTAGGAGTGTGGGTCCAGGAGGACAGTGACGTACCTGCCCCCCACCAGCACCTGTAGGAAGTCAGCAGACATGGAGTGAGGAATATAGCTGTGGACAACAGCAGCTCTCAGTGGTCACCGCCCCCACCTGACAGTTAATGTTTTCTCATCAATCCCTCATTCACTCACTGATAGTTGAAAAAATGAGGCTTAGAGAAGGAATGTAATATGCCCGAGGTCACACAGCTGAGAAGTGGCTGAGCTAGGATGTGAACTCAGGACTTTTTTAAGCCAAAAGTTGTGCTCTTAACCACTTCACTCTTAAGCACCCTCCAGGGTAATCTTGGTTGTTGCCGTATCTCCAGCAATCAGGAAAGAGTCTGTCTAAAGAAGGCAGCAGACGTATACTGCATGCATCACGGATGGATGGATGGATGGATGGACAGATGGAGCCGGGGAAATATTAATGGGCTATTGTTAGATGTGTACATGGATAGGTGGATGGAAGAATAAATGGATGGATGAATGGATAGATCGATGTTGAGTAAGTGCTAGGATGGATTGATAGATAAGTGAAAATGGATCAATAGATCAATGAGTGGATATTGAATGAAAAGATGGTGGATGGATGAAGGTTAATTGGAAAATAAATGCATGAATAAATGTGGGGTACAAGGATGCTGAGTATTGGGTAAGCAGATTGAATGATGGATGTTACATGGATGGATTGACATTGGAAGGATAGATGGAAGAAGGACGGATGAGAGGCAATTGCTTAAATGGGTACTGGGAGGTTGAATGGGTAGATAGAGGTGTAAATAGATGTTTATTGAATGGACAGATGAATGGATGAACAGACACTGGACACTGAATGGCTGGACAGCTGATTGTTGGGTGGACAATGGCAGATGAATGCATAGACTGGTTGATAAATAGAATAGAAAGTTGGTAGAAATTTAATATATGGATGGATGTTGAGTACATGAATGGAAGAATATTTGGTAAATTTTGGATAGAAAGATGGAAAGATGGATAATGAGTGAATGGATGGATAGACACATTGGATAGTACAAGGAAAGATGGATGGATGACTGCAATTAAATATTTGGATGAATATTGGAGGATACTGGGCAGATATTGGGTATGTAAGTAAAAGGATAGACTTTAGATGGAAGGATGGATGGGTGGAAGATTCACTGATGTAAGTTGGATAAATGAATGAAGGTCATCTGGACTGGATGTACAAGTACCAAGTAGATATTGAATGACTGCATAACTCAATATTGGAAATATGCTACAGGGCCATTGAAGAGATGGATATCAGATAAGCATCGGATGTACAGTTGGACTGATGGATAGAAAGTTAGATGAACCACTGGGTAGATGTTGGATGGGCAGGTCAATGTATAGACAGATGTTAAGGAAATCACAATGCATCAACTATGAAAGGCCCAGCTGCTCATTCCCTTCTCTCCCAAGAGGCACTTACCGTAAAGATGTCACCATGCTTCTCCTTCATCCTAGTGAGGAAGCTGGCAGCATCTTTTCCAAACTCCAAGGCATGGCCCAACCAGGGGATACTGCCCAGGTCCAGGGGTGGCTCACCAGGTCGCCTGCAGAAACCACAGCACCGATCACCATTTGATAATGCAGGGAAGCAGATAAAGAGTATAGGGCATGGGGTGTGATTTTAAATGAGGTCACAGGTACACACTAGCTCAGCCCAAGGTGTAAAGGCTGTGTGTGTGGTATTCAAGACCAGAATTATCTGTGAGAGCAGAGAGACTCTTCTTGGAGTACAATATTTGTAGCTCACCAACCACTCCTCAGAAGGAAGACTGAGTAATCTACTTCCATAGTGATACTGCCTCGGAAACCCAAGGAGGGGTCGCTATGAGTCGGGTTCGACTCAACGGCACATAACAACAACAACTGTGGTAGGCAGAATTCGAAGATAACCCACAATGACCCACAGCCTTCTATAATTCCCTCCTGGGAAATACATGGTGCAGTTAATTTTAAGAAAGAATGTTTATGCTTAGTGGGCCTGGCCTAACCAGGGACTAAGTAACAGGGCCTAAAGGGGACAGATCTTGTCCTGGCAAAAAAGAAAAAAGAATGAGAGCATGAGAGAGATTAAACACAAGGGGTATTCTCTGTCACTGGCTTTGAAGAAGGAGGAGCCATGTAAAGGTATGTGACCAGCCCCTAGGAGATGAGAGCAGACCTCAGCTGACAGCAAGCAAGGAAGCAGGGCCCTCTGTCCTATAATGCAAGGAACTGAGTTCATCCAGATTCTTCCCAGAGCCTCCCGATAGGAAGGCTGCCTGTCCTACACCTTGATTTCAGGCTTGTAAGACTCTGAACAGACTAGGAAGAAAGGTCTAAGTTTTTCAACGGTCCAATTCTATTGGGCATGGGGTCGCTGTAAGGTGGGGGTCAACTTGATGACAGCTAACAACAAAGACTGAACAGAGAACCTAGCCACACTAAGCTGTGTTGTGCACCTTCCAAACTGTGAACTAAAACACGGGTGATGTTTTAAGCTGCTAAGTTTGTGGTAATTAAAAAAAAAATGTTAAATGTGATTCGAGTGAAAATTTGCAGAGCAAATCAAGTTTTCCATTCAACACATACACATTTTATGTCAGTGATTACAATCCCCTCACTGTAAAATATCACTCCTCCCACTTCCTCCCTGTGTTTCTTGTTTCCATTCCTCCTTCTTTCCTAACCCTTCCTGCCTTCTAAACTGTTGTTGTTGATATTGTT